GGAGCCCCCCGCGCGGCGCCCGTCTCCGCCTCAGCCCCGGCCGGAAAAGGAAGTGCACGTCGCAGCCCTAGACTTTTGCCGCTTGCGCGCACGGCCCCGCCCCTGCGAGCGGGGGAAGCTCCCCTCAGCTGGCAGCTCGCCCGCGTCGTCTTCCCCTTCCGTCCTAATGTCCTCGTCTGGCGAAAACGTAGGGAAAAAAAACCTTTTCCACCCGCATTCTCCGCTTGAAGTCGCCTCATGAGACGTCGGGATTATGTTCTTGGGCGAAGATTCGGCGGCAAGCGTCTCTCTTTGGCGGAGGGATTCCTCGGAGGGGATGGAAAGTAGTTCTGGCGCGCAGTCCGAGCGAGGGGAAGCGACTGCGCATGCGTGCGACGCTGGGCTAGCTAGCCATCCCTGAGGCGGCGTGGATCCGATGGCTTCTCGGCGGCGGCAGGAAGAGATCCTCCGCTTCCATAGCTTCCTCCTGCAGTAAGTGGACCCGTCATCCTCCTCCGTTGAACTTGGAACGGTTAAAAAAAAAAATAGGGTCTTAGCTTTCAGATTTATCCTCACAACAGCCCTGCGAGGTAGGCTGATCGGTAGAGTTGAGGTTTAGGGAGGTCCAGCATAAGAGATGGCTTATAAAAATACAGGGAAAAATAAAACATCAGGAGTGAGCCTTAATAGCCTAGTAATAATAGGGTGATTATTATAATCCTTGTTTAGTTTATTTTTATTCTCTTGCTCCTGAAGTCTGCCATTTCTTTCAAAGGTAACTGCACTTAAGTTTCTGCTGGGGCTTCAATTTTAATTAATTAATTTATTTATTTATTACATTTTTCAACCGCCCAAATTGAAGCTATTCATCTTGTTTGGGGGGTTATTTTACACCAGGTGTATTCACAATGAATGAATAAATAAATAATAATAACAAATAAATACAAATAAACAAAAAGCCCCCCACCAAGTAACCTGAAATTACCCAGATTATTATTTATTTACGTATTTCGCAGTTTTTAGAGCCCATCCCATTCCTGGGTGGGGATTGCTGTCGGTGGCTTAACTCTGAGTGAAGATTTGAACCCTGCTCTGTCCTGTCAAAGCCAGGCATGAAAATACTGGAGTGAGATGGAATTCACGTTGGCTTTCAGATTATAAAGGCCCTGATGGTCTTCTCTCTGGCTCTCAGTAAAACTAATATGCAAACGCCATCCGATTGATTGATCGAAAATATCTCTATGCGGATTTTTCAGGTGTACAGTGCAATGGGGAGGACCACCTGCAAACACAGAGCCTTATGTGGGTGCAGAGGCTCTCTGAAAAGTGCTGCCGAACCATATTTTTAATGCGTCAGAAAAGAGTGATATTCAGTACCCATTTGAAAAGGGTGGGAGGTTGAGTGTGAATTTCTGGTCACCTGTGAAGATGTTCGGTTGGATTTTAATGGAAGCTATTCATCTTGTTTGGGGGGTTATTTTACACCAGCTGTATTCACAATGAATAAATAAATAATAACAACAAATAAATAATTAATACCTTGAGAGTAACTATATTAAACTCTGTAATTAATTGTGTAATTAATTGCATTTGATTATGATTGAATCAAATCCAGTTAATTTTCCATCTCTTAGTTTTTTGCTTCTAGGTATACCCATTTTGGGGAATGCCCCCTCCCATCACAGTCCATTAAGTTCAAATACAACTCTGAAAAATTTAGTGTACGCCTTGGCAAAACTGTCTAAAGAAAGATTTATACAGTGTAACCAATTAAAGAAAATGCACACACAGGCTAAATACACATCCTAAAAAGTTTGAATGAATGAAAACTTAGTAGATCTTGATTGATCTTAAAAAAAATGGTAAGTCGGATTACTCTTGGCTAGTAGTAGGATGGGACACCACCAAGAAATCCTAGGGCAGTAGGCTAGACTGGGAAGTTGTATAAACGCCTCAGAAAAAGTAAGTGGCAAAGCCAGCTGGTGATCTTAGGCCAGTTATTCTCTCTCAGCTCTAGGAAGAAGGCAGAAGCAAACCACTTCCAAAAACCTTGCCAAGAAAACTGCAGGGACTAGTCTAGGCAGTCACCAGGAATCAACACTGACTTGAAGGCACCCCCAAAACACAAAACCTCTTTCTATACTTTCAACAGAATGAGCTGCCAGAACGTAAAGGTACAGGCAACTTTTGAATTGACCTTGATTCCTGGCGACTATTTTATCATTAAAATCTTCAGCAGGAATGCATTCTTCCAGCACCTTCTAATAAAGATATGGATCAGACCTAGGTTTTCAGCTTTAGGAAGCCCAGTAAAGGATCAGATTCAGGTGGTCTCATCCAATGTACATTTCAGAAGTTGCAGACATGTGGAAAGCTGTGCGATACAGCAAAAACTAGCCAAATCTAACATCTGTCTATCTGTTTACAAGATGTTTATGATAGTTTACAAGATACAGTGTGAATATTGGCTACAGCCTGTGTAGATACAAGGAGTCCTCATTTAATGACTTCCTTGTTTAGCAACCACAGTTAGGAGGGTGTTGAAAAAGTAACTTTACGATCCTCGTATTTATGACCTTCGCAGGTCTGTAAAGCAAAGTTGATCATAAACACAATTGCAGTTTCACTTAGCAACCACTTCTCTTAACGACCAATTTGCCGGTCCCAATTGTGTTCACTAAGTGAGGACTACCTGTATAAACTGAGAGCTCTGTCAGGGGTAGCTCTTTTCCTGTTCTGTACGCGTATAGTTGCCATTTTGCATATTGTTACCAAATAAATTGGTATTTAGGCAAGAGAATGGTCTGGTTATCTGGTGTTTTCCCCTGTGATCATAATAAGCAGAAAGGAGATGGATTAAATTTTCTTATTTTGTTCTAGATTGCTTCATGGTAGATTGACTTTAAGACTAACATTAGCATTTGTACATAGGTACGTCTCATGCTAAACAGCATTTTAGCAATGTTTACATTCTGAAAGTTCTATCAGGATTAGTGTCATTTTGCTCTTGACATCTGTTTCCAGCATTCAGAAAAATGAGTAAATCACTATTTATATTTCAGAGTATATGATGAAGGAAAGCAGAATAACAGCACAGGACCTTTTGCTTTTGAGGTATGTTTATATAAGTGTTTCAAACATCTTATTGGTTTACAGAAAATGATGTATAGTTAAAGGTAGAGAAGTTTAGAAATGCTAAGGTTTAAGATAGTTTAACATTAGATGTAGATTTTAGAAGAAGGAAAACGTATAATGCCGAATTTGGTGAATGAAGTTTGATTTATTTTTATTTTTTAAATCCGAGAAATGTTCCTGCTTGTTGTAAGAATAAATTTGGAGAGAGAGTGCTATGTATGTTTGTATGTATTACTCCAGGAAGAAATATAGGATATAAATATACTAAATAATAAAAATGATAAATCAGCTTGATAGTTATTCAAATTGCAGATTTGGACTGTTGGTGCAATTAATTTGAATAAATTCCATGTAAAGAAAGTATAGATTTGTTTTCCCTTTTCTCTATAGTTTGGTTTGTGTTATTTTGATATAGCTTTACTATTGCTTTCCTTAAATAAATTTTATTTTGCTAGGAAAAGGACTATTGGTAAGTCTTGCAGTTTGCTGTAAAGCATGATTGCAAAGGTATGCATGTATCAACATTAAGACCCTTATGCAATTTGGTGGAAAAGCACCTTAATTATTCACACACAATCTTTATCCTCTGTCATCACTAAGGGGATCCCAGACCATAGAGGATTAATGAAAAATCATGCCTGAAATTCTGATATCTGCTACTCTGAAGTGAGATGGTCCTGCATAGGAAGGGATGAGCATTAATGTCAATTGCTATAATACTTTCAATGTATAAATTTATTGTTCTGTATGTCAAATTATTTTTAAAGTGGACTGAGAAAAACACTGTGGAAACAACTTGTTTCTTTTGCCAGACTGATCTGCGAGTCCATTTGATCGATGAAGGCAATACAAATCCCTTAGAGAAACTCTGGGACCGAAGTGGGGTTTTTTTTGTTGTAGAGAAGATGGTAAGTGGACTACTGTTACTTCGGTATGCTCCACCTTTCTGGAACTTATCATTTTTCTAGCACAGCTGCTTCTTTTTGCAGAGACCATATGAGGAAACCAGCAGATTGGAAGAATGGCAGAATGGTGAACCTTCAGTTTCTGAGGCTTTCCCGAAAGAGAATTTATCAGCATCTCCTGTAACCCTTTCAAGAGCAAGGTGTGCACGTGTGTGTGTTTCTTTTAATCTTTATCCTTCAGAATCTGCACTCTTCCTAGAGCAAACAGTGATTTTACTGCTTAACAGAGCAGCTATAATTTAATGTAAGTTTCTACAAAATGATAACAACTTTTAATATTTGAATGAGTATAATTTTGTACCCATAATTCCTCAAAGAATTATAACATTCCATGTGTGTGTGCGTGCGTGTGCGCGCATAATACACATTCACATACCCAAGGAAATTAGCACTACCTTTCTTTTTTAATTGATGTGAGCTGTTTTGGAAGACAAAAAAGTTAAGGTAAAAAAATACAGCAAATACTACTTAATTAGTAATCTTTTACTCTGAAATAATGTCTTTTCACCATTGATAGGCAGCTGATTTCTTTCTATACAATGTCTCAAAATCCAAACATGAAACATTTACAAATAAACAACGCAGCACAGCTTCCTCCGCTTTGGGTACGATGCGATCCCTCTGATCCAAAACAAACTATTTGGCTTGGAGCTGAACCTTTGAGAAATGGAAATAATCTTATGGGGATCAGGCTTCATACGGTTACCTGCAATGGTAAGGTTTTAGCCTTGGTGGGAGGTTCCATCAGATTTCAGCTATGTGTGGAAGAAATGGAAAACTCTATTAATTTTTTAAAAATCCAGTCTTTAGGCTGTGCAATTCTTCTTAAGTGAAACCTGTTTTAGCGAATTGATTCAGACTGAATGTGTAATTTTTGAAGATGTGGGGTAAAGCTGCATGTAACAGGACTAGTTATTTAGAGTAATCTCTGGAAATAACCTCTCTTTAATTTTGGGGATACATTTTCTCTCTGCTACTTCAAACATATAGATTAATTGAGGTATATTACTAGTTGCTAATTACAGTTTTTGATACAGTATTCTGCTGCTACATTTTTAACTGCTGATAGCAATAATAGGACGATAGATTGATATTAGAGGATTTTTTAAAAATGAAACCAAAGCTTAAGAGCAAAATTTTTATCTCATTTTTATCAATTTTTGATAATTAGGTAACCCTCATTTAATTCAGCTTGTTTTCCTAGGTTCCCTGTCAAATAATAATAATTCTATAGGCTTGGAAGAACTGAAAGAAAGTCACAGAATGAGACATCATGCTTCAGAGGTAGGTTTATCTTGATTTTTATTCACAACTGAACATACAATGAATTTTTTAAAAATTAAACAGGCCTCGGAGCTGAAAACATTCTAAGTTTAATATATACTGATTTATATATTGTAGTGTAATAACTCTGTGTTTAATATGTGCTGGGCTGTTATATACTGAACTCAAAAGCCTTTGGTTTCAGTGGAACTTACAGGGAGTTTTTATGATTGTAGTCTTAATCTGATTTTAGGGTAATTTATAAGATATATTTTCATAACTACAGTCATTCAGAACAGCTGGCTACAGCTGTAAACTGTCTTGTGTTTTAGTTGATAATAACAGGCTTTGCCCGCTATGAATTTCTTGAAGCCGCTTCACTGGACCCCTTGTCTCAGGAGGATTCCTTTATTCCATTGGAGAGAAATATATATGCAGATTTTGCTTGGGATGGTGTAAAAATGCTGCTGCAGACACCTCCACTCTCATCTGTTGCTCTGCTGGTAAGGAAATCAACAGTTTCAATACTATTATAATAAGAGATGCTGAAATGTTGCTGCTAATTTAATAACCATTTAATTGTGAATGGCGTAAAGGAGGAAGCGTGCATAGCATCTTAACACCAGACATTCTAATCTCAAAACAGGCAATTCCAGAAATAATCAATATAAGTAAATAATGTATTCTTTGTAAACCTAGTAAAGATCCATTATATATGAATCATTTTATTTTTGAAAATTTCAGACACTTCAAATGGCATCTGGAAGCCCCCTGAGTTCTGTATATGAGCCAAACAGAGAACTGCAATTCCTTCTTGTGAGTATTGCGATGTCATTTCCCATTCAAAAAATAATGCTTAGCTGTGTAATAGCAAGGATGATTGCATGGTTTTAATCAACTGTCCTCTTTGAAATGGAATTAAGATAGTATTGTTAAATATTTAAATGAATATTTTTAAGTATTAGCTGTTAAAAGTCTTGATTGTTTCAGTAGCATTTGTTATTTTGTGTCTGTGTGTCTGTGCACATGTGTGTGTGTAATGTATTCTACTGAACAGCAAATCCCCTTAATCATTTAGGTCTCACTTCTGAAGTAGCAGCTTGTGTTAGATAGCCATGTATGGCATGTGTGTTGTACTATACCGTATCAAGACATGGCTTTAGACATGTTTGTTTTTGGATGATGGTGTTAGAGTTTGGCCGAAATCTTGAAGAATGGACTAACTGAGTGGCCGAAGGCACTGGGAAGAAAGTCTGCTGTTGAACTAGTACAGAAACTTTTGAAAGGTAACGCTAAGCGTTTTGGAAATACTTCCCTTGAGATCTTAGCTGAAATATGTGTAATGGCTGAGTTTGTATTGCACACATTGCACACTTGGTTTGTGTCAGGTTCAGCCCAAAGAACCTGAGACGAACGAGACAGTACACGTCTAGTTCGGTGGCTTTTATTAGCTTTCACCCACAAGACAGAATCTCGCCAGACTGAATCTAAACTTCCCAAGCCAGCAAGCAAACACCGCAAATTCCTT